GATGTGTCGGCTCTCACTGGTATCACCTAGCAATATACTTTGAAATGATTTTTTTGAACTTGTTTTTTTTTAAGAAAAAAAGGGCCCCCCCCCCTTCGGCCGGTGTGATTTTTTGTGGAATTTTTCCCCCCCCCCCCCAAAATACGGTGGGGGAAAAGGGGGGCCCCCCCCCCCCCCCTCAAAATCATCATAGCCCACCCTCTAGGTAAATTATGAATGCTCCCTTACGTGCTTCCCTCTCAAAATAAACGTTTTTGCAATTGCTACCTACTTACCTACCTACCTATCCACCTGCCTACCAATGATGACGTACAAGAGAGAATGAGACCATTCTCTCTTGTGACGTAGCAATAGTAAATTAACATCTTTCCCAGGGCCTCTCTTGCTCCCATCCTTTGTAGGGAGAGCGGGGCCTTTTTTAAGGCCCTGTCCACACATATCCGGATATTTTTGAATCTGTACTTGAACTTTTTCCTTGCGGATTCAAACATTTTCACCTCCACACGTAGTTTTCAAATCGAATTTGTTCGTCCACACGTATCCGGATTCACTCTCAGCTCGTCAGCTAATTTGGAAAGTTGTCCTCGGCTCATGCGAAAATTTTATCTTCAATCTCCTTCAATAAATGTTTCGCTGACAAAATTGTCCCACCAAGCACTAGTTCTCTTCTTTTACTTGTTTATGGCGTCCAATTCGTCCGTCCAACATGGAAAAAATCCTCAGAACGGTACAGTGATAATAGCCAGGTTTAACTGTACAAACGTTGTAAGACTTAAAATAAGAGGAAAGAGGTTAAAGAAGTGAAACATTGCGCTCGGCAGCCATCTTGAATATTTACGGTAAAGAACTAGGGTCGATCTTGTTACGTCCGAATTATTTCGAATTCAAGCGTATTCAAAACTTTCCACTCTGGACAGCAAATTCAAAAAGTTGGGGATTCTTATGCTAGATCCACCGTATACGTGTGGAGGGAGCCCAGTCCGCAAGGAAAAAGTTGTGGATTAAAAAATATCTGGATACGTGTGGACGGGGCCGAAGACTTAAATGTAAAGATACTTATGCCATAATATACTCTTTTTTATGTAAGGAAATATTTTATAAGAATATCGAGGCTGCAATTTGCGAAATTTTAAGAATATCTTAACCCTAGGACGTACATGCAAATTCATACCCCCACCGTGGAACAAGGGAGAGGGGGTGAGGGGGTGGTTGGGGGTGGGCGGTGTTGTGGATGGAACCCCTCCCCGGAGTTTTTGATATGTTCCAGTATTTTGAAGCGATTTTACCTTTAGTGGAAAGCCTTTGATGTTCTTAACCAAATGAGGTATATTTTATGGGTAGTGGCGCTGCTAGAGGCCTGTAACATCACCAACAATGGTCGCCATCTTGGATTTTACCAAGAATTAGAAATCAGGTTAAAACCGCGAGAAATGGTAATTTTTGGTTCTCTACATAAAAAATAACACATAAATAAGCACTTTGCATGATTTTAGCCAGAAGATTTACTTTTATTGTTGAAAGAAGTTGAAAAAACATGTGTTTTCTCCCAAAATTGGCTTGACCACCTGCTACTTATGACGTCATATCTTGTAACCATAGCAACTGACCATCACTAAACTTGTCTCAAAATCTGCGCAAGGGATGAACGAACAGCTACTGAAAATATCACGTATTGATGTTTTATCCTCTAGGAAAAAAACTCAGTAAAACCTTATAGAGGGGGGGATGGCATCAACCCCTCCCCCCCTTTGTATGTCCGAGGGTTAAGAAAAAACCACAGGTTGAGATTATGAAAAGGATATAGTTTTGTGTGTTGAAAATTTATCAATACAATACAATAATATGTTTTTAACTTACTCCTTTCTTTAAACAGCAAAACTAGCCAACAAAACGACAAAACATGCACTAACTATAATTGATACCCCAATATATTCTTATACCTATAACGGAAATGTCATAAGCTATAATTTAAGAATAATACAAGAACATTTCCTGCGAAAAATCGGCAGAAAAATAAGAATATTCATTCTGGGCCAAGAAAACAGCATTCTTATAAAAAAATGAGTGTAATTCCTTTTTCTCTCCATTCAATTTCAGCGGGAGTAGATTGAATTTAATAGACCGTCATTCACTCAAAGGGACACAACATGCCTATTATGTAAGTATCTAGGAGTGTCTTATACAGTTATTTTGACTAGAAAAGTATAATGTGTGAACCCCAAGATAGGGTATAGTTATTAGTCTCGCCTACTTTAGCAGCGAGACTCTTACTAAAAATGCAAGCGTTTTCCTTTATGTGTGTGTGTGTGGTCATGGTCCCAGGCGTCCGTAAGGAAGACCGGGGAAACTGGCGATAAGAATACGTGTCCCTCCTCGCGCGCCTCTCGCGTTTCTCTCGCACCTAAAACTCCCTTTCCCTTCTCTTTCGAACGCCTGCCGCGCAGGCCACTCAGAGCAGGGCTCCCCTTAGATGTAAACTAGTTTGGGCCGCGATTTAGTCTATGGTAGGTTTGTGGTTTAGTTTTTAACTAAAAAGCGAATAGATTTAGATCATTTTGTTCTAACATCATGTGTGAGGTTTTAAGACGGACCCACAAAAGTCAGCCATCCAACATGTTAGTCTTTTTATTCCTTCATCTTTGGAAAAGAGAGGAACAAACTCAGCCAAGTCCCCAGGCCTTCTCCGTTCCGTCAAACATGGACCCTACGTGACGTCACTGAAAGAGACGGTGACTGGCACAGACCCTTTATCAGACTTTTGTCGGACAACGAGGCAAGAAAGAATGCCTGGGGACTAGGCTGGGGTGGAATAACGAATAAAAAATGGCGTGTGGGATACACATGATGGGAACTTCATGGCCTGCCATATGCAGCATAAAGTATAAATTCAAAAAGATGGGGCCGAGGCTTATGGACGGAACTCTAAGATTAGAGCATTTAGTGTTCTGTTCTCACTAGCAAACATATTAACATTCTCAATTCATTCTCATTCAGAAGATTGTAATTCTTTTGAGTAAAAAATCACATAATCATGAACTATTACCCTTACAAACAACGTACGATGTGCAGGGGTTTGATTATTCTCAAGTACGATTGGTGGATTTTATGGCTAAATCTCCTTCTCGTTATATTGTTTTTTTCGGCTTTATTTTCTTAGAGAGGAGGATATGGACAACCTAGACGAAGTTCTGCTGACAAGTCCTTGCAACACAAATCGGGTTCCAAACGCTATCAAGATGTGTAAAGAAGTTCTGTTTCTTCTCCAGCGTAAGACACTGGGAAATATGGACGAAAAGAGTGTCAAGAGTTTTGAGAATATTCACAGACACGCAATAGGATGCAGCATAAAACCGATCTTAACTTCTCGACAAATTGTCGAGAGAAAAGTGGAACTAATCACAACCTGTATACTTAGAGAATTAAACAAAAGTGAACGTAAATACAATGAAGCAAAAGGGGTTGACTTAAAAGCACTAAAGATCGCAGAGAAAATTGGCGACAGGAAAATAGAAGCCACATGCTATGCAAGCCTTGGAAGTATCTTTGAGTCTCTCGGTGAACATGTCAAGGCCAAAGAACATTCCGAAAAAGCACTTGCAATCGCAGAGAAAATTGGCGACATGAAAACAGAAGCCAAATGCTATGCATGCCTAGGAGGTATCTTTCACGGTCTCGGTGACTATGACAAGGCTAAAGAACATTCGGAAAAAGCACTTGCAATCGCAGAGAAAATTGGCGACAGGGAAATAGAAGCCACATGCTATGCAAGCCTAGGAAGTATCTTTGAGTCTCTCGGTGAATATGTCAAGGCTAAAGAACATTCCGAAAAAGCACTTGCAATCGCAGAGAAAATTGGCGACAGGAAAATAGAAGCCACATGCTATGCAAGCCTAGGAAGTATCTTTGAGTCTGTCGGTGAATATGTCAAGGCTAAAGAACATTCCGAAAAAGCACTTGCAATCGCAGAGAAAATTGGCGACAGGAAAATAGAAGCCACATGCTATGCCAGCCTAGGAAGTATCTTTGAGTCTCTCGGTGAATATGTCAAGGCTAAAGAACATTCCGAAAAAGCACTTGCAATCGCAGAGAAAATTGGCGACAGGAAAATAGAAGCCACATGCTATGCAAGCCTAGGAAGTATCTTTGAGTCTCTCGGTGAATATGTCAAGGCTAAAGAACATTTCGAAAAAGCACTTGCAATCGCAGAGAAAATTGGCGACAGGAAAATAGAAGCCACATGCTATGCCAGCCTAGGAAGTATCTTTGAGTCTCTCGGTGAATATGTCAAGGCTAAAGAACATTCCGAAAAAGCACTTGCAATCGCAGAGAAAATTGGCGACAGGAAAATAGAAGCCACATGCTATGCAAGCCTAGGAAGTATCTTTGAGTCCGTCGGTGAATATGTCAAGGCTAAAGAACATTTCGAAAAAGCACTTGCAATCGCAGAGAAAATTGGCGACAGGAAAATAGAAGCCACATGCTATGCCAGCCTCGGAAGTATCTTTGAGTCTCTCGGTGAATATGTCAAGGCTAAAGAACATTCCGAAAAATCACTTGCAATCGCAGAGAAAATTGTCGACAGGAAAATAGAAGCCACATGCTATGCAAGCCTAGGAAGTATCTTTGAGTCCGTCGGTGAATATGTCAAGGCTAAAGAACATTCCGAAAGAGCACTTGCAATCGCAGAGAAAATTGGCGACAGGAAAATAGAAGCCACATGCTATGCAAGCCTAGGAAGTATCTTTGAGTCTTTCGATGAATATGTCAAGGCCAAAGAACATTCCGAAAAAGCACTTGCAATCGCAAAGAAAATTGGCGACAGGAAAATAGAAGCCACATGCTTTGCAAGCCTAGGACTTATCTTTGAGTCTCTCGGTGAATATGTCAAGGCTAAAGAACATTTCGAAAAATCATTTGCAATCGCAGAGAAAATTGGCGACAGGAAAATAGAAGCCACATGCTATGCAAGCCTTGGAAGTATCTTTGAGTCCGTCGGTGAATATGTCAAGGCTAAAGAACATTCCGAAAAAGCACTTGCAATCGCAGAGAAGATTGGCGACAGGAAAATGGAAGCCACATGCTATGCAAGCCTAGGAAGTATCTTTGAGTCTGTCGGTGAATACGTCAAGGCTAAAGAACATTCCGAAAAAGCACTTGCAATCGCAGAGAAAATTGGCGACAGGAGAGAGGAAGCCAGATGCCATGGATACCTAGGACACATCTTTGAGTCTTTCGATCAATATTTCAAGGCCAAAGAACATTCCGAAAAAGCACTTGCAATCGCAGAGAAAATTGGCGACAGGAAAATAGAAGCCACATGCTATGCAAGCCTTGGAAGTATCTTTGAGTCTCTCGGTGAATATGTCAAGGCTAAAGAACATTTCGAAAAATCACTTGTAATCGCAGAGAAAATTGGCGACAGGAAAATAGAAGCCACGTGCTATGCAAGCCTAGGAAGTATCTTTGAGTCTCTCGGTGAATATTTCAAGGCTAAAGAACATTCCGAGAAAGCACTTGCAATCGCAGAGAAAATTGGCGACAGGAAAAGAGAAGCCACAAGCTATGTAAGGCTAGGAAGAACCTTCCGGTCTCTCGGTGAAGATGTCAAGGCTAAAGAACATTTCGAAAAAGCACTTGCAATCGCAGAGAAAATTGGCGACACGAAAAGAAAAGCCAACGTTTATTTATGCCAAGGAGATTTCTTTAGTAGTCTCGGTGAAGATGTCAAGGCTAAAGAACATTTCGAAAAAGCACTTGCAATCGCAGAGAAAATTGGCGATAGGAAAACAGAAGCCAACTGCTATGAAGGCATAGCACAAGCCTTTTGGTCTCTCGATGAATATGTCAAGGCTAAAGAACATTTCGAAAAAGCACTTACAATCGCAGAGAAAATTGGCGACAGGGAAACAGAAGCCAAATGCTCTATGTGGGTAGGAATGATGTTCGAGTTTCTCGGTGAATATGTCAAGTCTAAGGAATGGCTCGAAAAAGCCTGTGTATTGCACAGAAAGTATGGGGCCATCGAACGCGAGTCACTTCTTCACTTGCTTGTTTCAGCTTTTATGTTTTCTCAAGGTAACATATCTGAAGCTAAATCAAACGCCGTTGATAGTTTTAATAACGTAGAAGTTATGCGACGCCTCCAAGTTCATGATAAATTCAAGATATCGTATTTTGAGGGAATTGTTAGTGCCTACCGAATGTTCAGTCGATTTCTTTGTGATGCTGACTTTCCTTATGAAGCTTTTTACACAGAAGAGTTTGTGCGAGCCAGGGCCCTTACAGACTTAATGGCAGCTCTGTACTCCGTAGAAAACGAAATACCAGTCAGTCCAGAAACATGGGATGATGTTCAAAGTATTGTCAAGAAAGAATGCAACTGTTCTTGTCTTTACATATCATACTACGAACAATTGATACATCTGTGGGTTGTTAAAGCAGACAAACCCTTAATTTTCCGGCAAATGAAAGTAAACGATGTTTTTGGATCAGAAAGCAGAGTGGCTGACTTGCTTTGTCGCGTAAATTGCGAAGATCCATCCTGGCTTACTCCTGCTTATGTCTACAAAATGATCATTGCTCCTGTAGCCGACTATCTTGATGAGCCTGAAATCATCATTCTTCCTGATCACCTCTTTTACAAAGTTCCATTTGCAGCATTAGAAGATGAAAGTGGAAAGTGTTTATCAGAGTCTTACAGGATCCGCATCGTTCCCTCTTTGACGGCTCTAAAGCTTATTCAGGACAGTCCGGCAGACTACCACAGTCAGACTGGTGTGCTGATAGTGGGAGACCCTGATGTTGGTGACGTGTTGTACAAGGGAATTCTTCAGCACAGATCGAGGCTGTCTTTCGCAAACAAAGAAGCAAAGATGATTGCAAAACTGTTCGGTACTCAACCTCTTCTAGGAAAACAAGCTACAAAGCAGGCGGTCCTTCAAAACATTCATTCTGTGTCTCTGATACATTTTGCTTGTCACAGTAACGCTGAAAGAGGTGAAATTCTTCTTGCTCCGCCACCCCTCACTGATAGGAAGCCTCTAGAAGAAGACTACTTATTGACTATGCAGAACATTTCAAAAGTTCAGCTGCGAGCCAAACTGGTGGTCCTTAGCTGCAGTCACAGTGCAAAAGGACAGATCGGTGCCGAGGGAGTTGTTGGAATTGCTCGCGCGTTTTTAGGATCCGGTGCTCGCTCAGTGTTGGCGGCACTGTGGGCCATAGAAGACGAAGCAACAGAGCAGTTCATGAGTCGTTTCTACGAAAACCTTGTTCGTGGGGAAAGCGCCAGTGAATCCCTTCAACAGGCCATGAAGTGGATGAGAGAAAACGGTTTCTCCAAAGTGTCGCAGTGGGCGCCATTTATGCTTATTGGAGACAACGTGACGTTGGATATTCACAAGTTAAGGTCATCGAAACGACAGTAGAAGTTGATGAACAAAACGATGGTCCTTTTCCCCACCTCCCTAGTGTTTGTCCTTACAAATACAGGATAAACTCTGCGTGTTTGTTACTTAGATAATTAAATGATAGGGCGATTTGTTCTGTACTACAGTAAAGATGTTTGTGTAGATTTAAACTGAGTCTCTGATACCTGAATACAATAGGATAAGCATTTACGATTGACAATTCCGTTTTTGTCTTTGAAATAACTCACACAGAGTTGTCAGTTATAACAATTATTTAACTCAAGTTCGTTTGAGATCATATATTACAGTAACTTTTACTAACTTTTAAACTGTCTCCTGATGTCGGAGTTAGGCCAGTTCTTTACAGTTTCTTCGTGTCAGGAGGAAACTTTTATTAGTTGTTGTTCTAGGAATATTTACTTTTAAATAATAGGACAGGTTTTGTCTAACAATACACATGTTTGTGTCCCAGATGACATGTTGTTTAAGAACTTGCACGACTTGTACGAGTCGTAACCGACTTGAAAACGGCTCCCTCTCTGCAACTCTTAATTCTAAGTGTCGCTAATGAGAGAGGGTTTTAGTAATACCTTATATTATTTCACTGAAATTTATTTTATTGATCCGGCACAATGTACAAATCGCAAAATGCACTGAAGGCTTTACTCACGATCGTGATTTGTACCACTCGTACAAGTTGTAGCAATCGGAATCACGATACAAATTTACGACTTGAAAAAGGGGCGAGTATTTGACACCCTCAAACATGATGACATTTAGCAGTCACAAACTTTAAGGGTTGAAATAAGTAGATACTACAACATACTTCGTGACGAAAATGTATGTAGTCACTATAACTATAACAAAATTGAAGATGAAACTCATTTTTAATTTTATTAAATTGCTTAAGCTACTCATTGACAAGAAACATGGTTTCAATTTCTAAAACAGATCTTAAAGTCCGATTTCTACGACTACTATCAAATAAGACCTTGTAATCAAATCTAATGAATTGCTTTCATGCATGTTTACGTCAGATGAATAAATAGAACAGTATAAATAAAATAATAGAACAGTAGAAATGGAATAGAACAGTAGAAGAACAGATTTATTTTATTTCAATGCGCTGTTAATACTGAGAAGAAATAAAAGTAACGAAGCAAGCTGTATTAATTTGTGGTAGTTTGCCAATAAAGGTTCAGTATTAAATTAATATTCGTGTCACAGTTCTTGTTTTCCTGCCACAGTCGCCGCCATTCTGTGAGTAGAGCATTCTTCGTCAAAAAAAAGAAGGCTCTGCCTGAATTGCGTCAAGCCTGTTAAGACGCCGCAGCCCGAACTTCTTATTTATTTGTTTTTAAACTTCGCCAACAGGCCTGGATCACTCACAGAGCAACCTCCACTACGAGTCCAGTTTTGGACTTGTCGATCTTGTTTCTCTCGTCAAACTGATTTTCGAGTGCGAGCATCCGTTTATTGATAAACCGATGGTCATAACTGAGCCCGCTGTACCAATCGCACTGGTACTGGGAGCTATAAGCCTGTGTTGGAAACTGTATCCTAGCAACTTACAGCGTATACCCAACAATAATGCTTACTCGATTCATGTAGAATCTTTCTTTAGTACGCCAAAAGTAAGCAATTGAAAGAAAGGCCCTGCTGTCAAAAGGTCGTCGTTGCGAATCGTCTCGTATAATTTCACCTAAAGACTGTATAAACTCTAGTTTTTATTCTAAAAGTAGCCATTAGAAGCTATTCCTTTTTTCAGTTATGATTTTAAAATTTTACATCTGACGGGTTGAAAAAAAATTAAACTGGTACAAAATGAGCAAACCAGTTTAAAAATTTTTAACTATTTTTGAACGGGAAAAAATTTCAACTACTACATATACAAGACATAACATAGATAAGAGCAACTGACCTGGACAAACGTTTAATCAGTCATTATTTTCATGTAGTCTATAGAAAAAGAAGGGCTAATTATTACCCGCGTTATCCTGTTTGCATTGATAACGCACAGCTGGATATAAGTAATATTTAAGTAAGAATAAGTAAGAATGGTCATAAAAAAGTCGCCATTTCGCGACACTCCACTCCACTCCGTTTTTGCGCGAAAAACCAGCTAGCGGTGGCGTGTACCGCCACCGAAATGATCCCCACCGTCGAAATGATCTCCGCCACCGAAATGACCCCCAATCACCACCGAAATGATCCCCACCACCGAAATGACACCGGCGGTCACCACCGAAATGATCCCCGGAATATCGGGAATGGAATTAAGAGGACTAAAAAAACTGGACAACAATTTAGAGCGTGCTTTTTATTTATTTATATTGCATCTTTTTTACGGTGTGTAATTTACCTTTTTACCGCTCTTTATTTTGCAGTTAATTGTTTGTTTGTTTTTTTTGGTTTAACACTAGACAATACTTGTTCAAAAGATGCATTTCACTTATGTCTTCTATTTCTTCGAATTTCTTTTTATATTTTTGCAAGAAAATTAATCTTCTTAATCAGTGTATAGAACTGTTATCAGTCTAATTACTTTCTCTACTTTCCTCTGTTTAGAAGCGTGTTTGCATGAATAAACGAAGAATTTAGAATAGGTAGCGAAGTCCCAGGTCCGTTTAAGCCAAGGTTCCGAAAATTTAAGACGGGATCATTTCGATTGCGAATAGGTATCATTTCGGTGGTGGGGATCATTTCGGTGGTGATTGGGGGTCATTTCGGTGGCG